AAATTTGTTTTATAGTTCGCTAGACCACGGTCTATCGGCTATAGGAATGCCAAATTTAGCTTTGAAAACCAAACAATTTGAAATTTTAGAAAGTGTTGTTGTGTTGGCCGGTAAAGACATTTGAAATTTTGAATTTTTTCGCTAATACTAACGAGATTTGTGGCGCACAGTCTACATAAATATCCAGAGAAACCGTCGTCTTCATGTATGTTATCTACTGAGCATATATCTTGCAAAGACGTTAAAACGCCCTCTCTCTTCGACTTGTTTCCAAACAAATCTACTTTGTAGCGATCTAAAAATTTATTGCAAAGTCTACAAGTATTATAAACTTGCTGCGTCGCCGCTTTCTTCGAAGAAGACATTGCTACACTCTGTTGCTACACTTTACAATTAATTTTTGTTTACAATTTTGCAACATCTTCAGTGGGGCTAGCCCGAATTTTGGCGCTGTTTATCGGAACTATGATTGGTCAAATTTTAAATTCTATCGACCAATGAAAAGCGCGCAAAATATGGATTAGGCCAGAGTTCGTGGTTGCTCGCGCCCTCAGGCCAAGAGGAACGCGGGCTCTGGAACGAGATTGCAAATTCTAGTTTTCAATTGCTTCATGGAATTCAAAAGACAAAAGAATGAAAGGCATGTTGTTGGTAGATAATAATGAGGATTTTGTTTGTAACACTAACTTAATTGCTTCCTACCCAAAAGAGCATCAATTAAAAATCAGCAGCATGTGGCAGCATGACCATCATGCACCGAGCACTTAGGCCCGCAAAGGATGCTGGTATATTTCCTTTTAGAAAAGTATACATCATCCGTGATGCTTTGCTGTCTTTTGAGCATGCACCATAAGGATAGAAATTTTAATTGTCTTTTTTTTAATATGCTGTTTTTACGTTTGATTTCAGAGTGCGGATTAAAGCAATTAACCAGCAAGGAACAGTCAAAGATATCGAAAAGTACTGAACTGCTGTAAAACAATGATAAAAAATCAGCATGTCAAAAAAATCTATAATCTATTATGCAACATAAGATAACGTCTTAATTAATTCATATCAGGTGCAATATATCAAGAACATTACAAGACTAAGAAGAATTAAATACTCAATAAACTGTAAAACAGTATTGTGGTCATGAGAGATCATTTGTTTAYACTTTCGTTGTCTGTTGTCAAGACAGCAGGGCGTTGTTTCCATTTTTAGCCCGTGCAAGCACGATATTGTAATAATCAGTCATGTTACAGCCTTTTGCAAAAATTATGAGAATTGTCGAAATATCTAAATATCATAATATCAAGTGCATGGTGGGTAATCCCGCGCGATGCCCTTAGTACCTTGTCTTTGTAGTTTAGTATTTTTTTGGCGACAGACTTATCCGTAGTTCTGAACATTTTCTCGATGTCAACAATGAATTATTCTAGCAAACCCGCGTGTTCCGGACAATATATGGATATGGATATTATGATATTTAGATATTTAGACAATTCTCATAATTTTTGCAAAAAGGCTGTATGTTGTACAATATGCGAATATTAATATTTTTATACATTATAGCATTACTTGTAAAGACGGCTGTTCTATTCAGGGCAGTAGGTGGTCTTTCGACACTGAAACACTGTTTATACAATTCAATTTCATCAAARCTAATAACACCGAAGAGAGACTGAAAAGGATTCACAAAGTTTTTATTTCAAATAAAATTTTCGTCGKTATCATGTTTCATTAAAGCATTAATTACTCGTAGAAGGCCATTTTAGTGAGTGCATGTGATCTCTTGCCTCTGCACACTGGCTCAGTCTTGTTTTTTTTATGTAACGTTTTGGAACCATACTTGTTTTTACATCGTTATAGGAAATATAGAGAAGTACGATCCTTCAGGTATTGTTCATTTTTCCTCAGGTAYTAATCTTCATAATCGGTGGTAAAACACTCACTTTCCATAAAGAAAAGAAGAAAAGCTGTTTTAACATCAAAAAATAAGATGTTTAACATCTATTCATCAATTCAAGAAAAGGTAAAGAGACTGCTTATTCATAGCTACAAGCTGGTCTCGATCGTGAAAACAGCTGGCAAGTTTAATATAATATTCACTAAACAGTTTCTGCGAGGGTTATAATTAGCGCATATTATTCAACATGTCATAAAACACTGTTAAAGTCAGACAATCAAGCAATATAAACTTGATCGCCATTGCTATGAAAGATACACCTTCCATACTTTTTTACCAATTGCTTCTGTTGACCACTGCCTTCGTTGCTGTGCAGTGTGGATGTGACGACCCTWTTCTCAAATGGGTACTAAACAAAGATGAAGTCGAAAATGMTAGTTGTTCACAATGTACAGAGGAGACAGAGGAGGCAGATGCTTACGATCTAAAATGGAATGAAATAGTTCGTACTTGTAAATACAGTACCATATCGTCCACAGATGAAGWTTGCCCGGATGAGATTCATGTTTCTTGGCTAAATCTACCACCTTTTACATTYAAAAACGCATCAAATGAAAATGGAAGAAGACCTTTTGGAGTATTTGTGGACGTCATGGATTCCTCGCTGAATTACTGTTGTTCAGAAAAAMCGAAGATGGTTTTCGACAAGCAGCCAAAGAAGAGCATCAAAGAAATTCTTAATCAGACAATGTCAGACGCGAATAACATGATAATGCCGGTAAATGTTGACAAGTCGAAAAAGTATCTTGGAAAGTTGCATTCGTTGCCTGTCATGGTGTCCCCAGCAGACGTGGTTCTTGTCAAGAAGTCTACTTTTGAAAAGAGTGAAAACAACAAACTCTGGCAATCAATTCAGGGTGTGTTTTTAGCGATCTTGCTGGCTGTTCTCCTTTCCTTGATTGCAGGTGTTGGCGTCTGGGCGTTGGTAAGGATAATCTTTTGAGTTTATTATAAGCGTTTTCTCTCATTACCCTCCTTCGATGCTTTCTCTTCTTTTCTTGTTCAGATTTCTTTTTACTTTCCTCTTCTCATTCTTCCCCTATTTCCCTTCAGGRAAATGATTTTAACTTGACACAAAAATAATGAATAACTAGCTATAACAATGAAATTTATGCGACAGGAAACAAGAAACAACGCTGACGACTTCCCAAGACCCTTTGCTAAAGGAACAAGCGAGGGATTTTGGTGGGCGTTTGTTACTATGACAACAGTWGGGTAAGCATGCAATGGACTAGCCTGCGTAGCGGCCCTAAGGGGATTGGGGAGGGCAGGCCCTCCCCAATCCCCTTAGGGCCGCTACGCAGGCTAGCAATGGACTAACATTAAAAGCATGAAAAAGTACTAACCAAGTAGAGATCAATAGCACAACATAAAGTGTGGATTACATAATAGAAAAATAAAGAAATTTACACAATTCAGTAATCTTTATCACTATTTAAATACTAATGTTTTACATGCCTTGGACAATATGGCGGTTATTTTGGAATATAAAAAAAGAAAATTAAGAGGCGAAAGTTAAACAAAAATTTGTAAAAAAACTAAGCAAAGCGAGCTGCAGTTTTATTTCAGTTTTATTGGCTCTGGTCCATCCAAAATTATGAATGTATATCCAGCTAACTTTGCTGTTGTGCATTTATCRTTAGCTATGGCGATCGCACACCTAAGTCTCTGTTTGGACGTCTATTTGGTGTTGTTTGGATTATATTTGGTATTTCGTTGTGTTCTATCGTGACTGCGGCGATTACCTCTGGATTAATGGCTTCCCTTGGTAAAGAAGACTTGGTGAAAATCAGGGGCAAAAAAGTAAGTGCTACATTTATTGCCAATCGGATACAACTAAACCCATCCCTTACCTCTGTCTATTCGTGACGCTCATCAGCCCCTTTGGAACGTAGCTACTACGACCGTAAACGATTTCAATGACATCAGTTATCTTGCCCTCAAATATCGTTTGAATAAGCCACCTCATACTGTATCACTTGTGGAGACCATGCGCGTTTGCATTTAAAATCATTCAGCCATGTGGGATGCCAGTCCAGAGCTTGTTGACAGTATTTTGTGCATGCTCAGTAGCAGATATCTGTCCAGTTATCATCGGATGTTATTTCACATGTCCTATGTAGTAGTGACAGTGTTTGCACTCGATCCGAAGTGTTGTACATCTTTCAGGTCGGTGTTTTGGCTGGCAGTCACACTATTAGAAAGGCAATCAAGAGTTTTGCTATGCCTAAAGGTAAGACAAATATAATAATTAACCTGTTTAAGGAATGCTTAGTGTAACGTTAAATGCCATATAAGGTAATGAACGACCGACGTGAATTATTGATTTAATGATAGGTTACTTGCTTTATTGACTCTTTTGTTAATTGCCCTTTGATTCGTTGATTGACTAACTGATGGTTTGATTGATTGACTAATTGATGGCTTGATTGAATGATTGATTGATTAATTGATGGCTTGATTGAATGATTGACTAATTGATGGCTTGATTGAATGATTGATTGATTGACTAACTGATTGATTGATTGATTGACTGATTGATGTTTTGATTGAATGACTGATTGATTGTCAGCTTACTACGACCTGGAGTCCATGAGAGAAGCGGTGTTAGCARAGAAGGTGGAGGCGATCCTTGTAGACATATATGTTGGTCTCTACCTTCTTGATCACTCAAATGACCAGCTGCACCTCGGTAACATCCTGGAAAATCACCATCATTATGGCATCGTGTTTTGGCACGACGACACAGACGAAAACAATTATACAAACCCATTTCCTCTCGAGATACATGGCTGTCTCGAAATGTTATTCAAATATYTTGAGATGGATGTTCAAGAGTTGATTCACAGCTACCTTGAAGGAACCAAAAATGTGAGTCATTCAATTTATGGATTCCAGTCTCCAATGGAACCCAGCTTAGAATATTCACAGACAATTCACGGTTTCTAGTTCTCCCACTTCGAGAAAACCTTTTTTATCCTCTTATGAAACTTGATGAAGCGGTGAAGTACGGGATTAAGCATCGATGCAATTTTACACCACTAAGAATGAGTACTGCCCAGTAGTAATACAGTCAACTCTCTTGTAAGAGACCACCTCGGGATCAGGAAAAAATGGTCGCAACTGTAGCCCTGAACCAGCGTTCAGATAGAAGATTTCGCCGGTAGTGAATAGCTATCCTATTAGAAGGCTGTAGAGAAACCGTGAATACTTAAAATGCACTAATAAAATACGAGCTTCTAATGTTTTATTTCGTTTACACCAACAGAAACTCAAAACCCAAGAAAAGCCTGGTTTGTTTTCGATCAAGAATCCATTCTTCAAACCGCTCCTCATCATCTTGGGTGTACTTTGTGGTTCTATAATTCTTTTTGTGATTGTTGAGGTTCTGTACAATCTTCGCAAGAAGAACACAGATCAGAACAAAGCTGAAAGAACAGKGGACCAAACTGGAGGTTAGGTTTCTGAGTTTCGTATACTAGACGAAAATCTCTGAAAAATGTTATGAGAAATTAAAAATATACACAAACATAGGCCTTSAACGGAATTTTCTAGTCTTAAGGACGTCCCTAGTAAGGAGCTTGAYTTGTGTAACGCGTTAGTCTTCCCATCGTGCACTGCACCTCTGATGACTGCAAAGAATGCTGGTAGATTTCACTTCGATAAAAAAATATTAGTCAAGAAGCTTTGCTGTCTTTGGAGCATGCGTTATGGGGACTTGTTTTAATATTTTGTTTTATACGTTGGATTTCAGAGTACGGATTAAACCAATTAACCAACATGAAAATGTCAACAGCCGACGAAGATTGCTGAACTGTAGTAACAAGAGACGAAAAAATGATAAAAAACAGCAGGATATCAAAAATCCATAATCTATTATGCTCCATAAGATAACATCTCAATTAATTCATGTCAAACCATTAATTGTTAAGAGAAATTAAAAACTCTAAGCTAGAAAAACCTTACAARATTTTACGCCTTAGCATAGGCAGCCAACCCAACCACCGAGATTTTTCTTTCCACAAAACTCTGTTTGAGCGCCTCTCTCATTTTCAATCTATAACTCGAATCAGTGATCTTCTGCTTCCTAGAAAGTTTTTATTGATTAATGAACAGTTTTGATTTGATTTGTTGATAAGATAATTTCAATGATTTAYGGGACAGGTAGATCAATCAGTTCTCTTTTACCAAAACCAATTAGCAAGCTTATTACAAAAGCAGAGACCACTTGTGCAGGACGCGTCACACTCGAATCCCGCGGGACAGCAATGTTTTCCATCAGTGCACGATACGGCGTCTGACAAAGGACAACAGCCCCATCCTGTTTCTGAATAGCGATTCGGGCTACAAGTCATGTTAYCAGGACACCTCGTGACGGTCTGTCCTTTGCTATTCTTGCATGCTAACGTCACGTCTTTGACATCTGTCTATCAATCGGAGAAGAGAAAATATCAATGATTCCATTAATAAAGCTATAGAGAAATGATGACAGAAATAAAAAACGTTTTGCTCAAACACGCGATCGATATATTATAGCTAGAATGGTTGCCGGCGTTCTGTAGTTTTATCATCGGACGCATGCGCAATCAGTTCAGAGACCGCTGCCATATTATGGCAGGAATCCCGTCAACTAGTGCATGATRGGAATTACTGATTACACTAAAGACAGCCTGAAACGAGGGCCACTTGAAAGCGAACAGTAACATATTCTCTTGTGCATCTTTTGCATTCTTTAATATTTCTTTTTCTTCAAACTTTTCCTTTTCCCTGAACTGTCAGTGATAATATCTAACCATCAGTTGGCTTGTGTGAGCTCCGCTACCATGACGTACTTTGAAACTAGTGAATTTTGATAAATTATAACTATACAAGGATTTTAGTTACCTTGATGGCATTGTCTTGAAAAGTAACATGATTCTTGACCAATTCATAATTTCTTCGCGACTTGTCCAACAAGAGATTGGAAAACAAAGCATTAACCAGGACAGACAGGTAATGATATCCATCGTGTGTGTAGTGAGGGCTTGGTTGAGACGAAGCGATCTCACAGCTACTGTAAGGCGGCTCACCACAAACAAGTACAACCCAATTGTACAAATCAACATACTCAACTGAAGGCTGTCCAGACATGACGTCAACTGCAATATTGTTGAGAGACTTGACGCGATTGTTAGCTGTCACRTTAAAGGGGACTGGTGTGCTCAGAACRTACCCAATCTTACTGCCTGTTGCAAGTAAAGCGTCTTTGATCGATACAAGATTCTTCTTGTACGTGCTGAAATCCGTGTATTCCTCGGGATTGTCAAAATCAAAGTCTGCGTCRTGGAGACCAAAATTGAAAACAATGACGTCATAGAATACTTTTTCCTGGAATGTTGTGGTTAAAAATACCTGGAGACACTTGACGGCATATTTAGTATCCAGGGCTCCTCCGTCGGTTGTATCCCAGGGGGCATGGTAGACGTCACAAACATCTTTTAGAGCTGATTTAACCCATGATGTGTAGCTATAACAACAATATATAAATCGTTATATTAAAAACGTCGACTCAGCAGAAAATTTCCAATGACTATAGGAATTTCTGTTTTTATTGATAGCAGACAAGGTGATGTTACTACTTAACTGACTTATACTCTTCWATCAATCTACGACAAAGGATCACCGAAAGGACAGTACCTTTTCTAGTTTACGATGTAAGTTGTAATGCTTTCCGCCGCTACAGCATTTTTAAAAACACTAAAGTACTTCACACTAGCTACGATAGTTCCTGGTAAAAAGTATTTTTTAAAGGTGACTCTAAATATACACAATAGTACAGACAACTGAGAACTTACCCAATACTGACAGAGTCTCCTATAACCAAACATTTCTTGTTGGTGTTGAATGTGACTGGCGGTCCAGGTTTGCAGACACGAGATGCATTGACTGATAGGTTCTCACAGTAGACATTCAGAACGTTGAAAAGAATACAAACAACGATAAAAGAAACTGCCTTCATTGCTGTCCGTTGAATTGAAAGCTGATACATTCCGTAAAGGAACTTGTTGAGACAAGAGTATTACAGCCACACGCAACCGGATGTTTTTGTTTTTGTCATTATTTAGTTTGATTATATTTCATGGATTTCCTGCGTTTGCTCTATTCGTTTGTCGCAAAGTGTTTCACGGATCTAATGAATGCACACTAGTAAGTTTTTTACAAAAACACAGTTCAAAAGTCGTCGCACTCGAATCCCGCGGGACAGCAATGTTTTYCATCAGTACACGATACGGCGTCTGATAAAGGACAACAGCCCCATCCAGTTTCTGAGTCCCGATTCGGGCTACAAGTCATTTTACCAGGACACCTCGTGACGGTCTGTCCTTTGCTATTCTAGCATGCTACCGCCACATTTTTGGCGGCTGTCTATCAATCAGAGAAGAGAAAATATTAACGTCATTTTCACTAAAGCTATTTTATTCCGGGACTTGACTCTACTGTTACAGCCATTGCATAATTTATCAAGCCGCCAATGACAACACAACTCGAAGATTGATTGTGTAGACGAATACAGAACGATACGATGAATCAAATTATAATTACTTAACAAATAGAATTTTAAGTAAACGACTTATGAATATAGTTTTTTTCTCCGTTAAAATTCTATTAATTTAACTTCGGTTCTAAATGAGCACGGAGAAAAATTCTCGGAGTAAGGAATCAGTCTACATGACAATACATTTTATTATACTCTCACAATGACTCTAGGGTTATTATACAAGCTATTGGTATTTAGAGTGATAAAGCAGAAATTATGATCATTTTGACTCATATTCCAAGTATCTATAAAATATATCAGAAATTATAGAATATCATCGCCGATATTTTTTGAAGTTGCCTAGCACTAGCACTTTCTGAAAAAAAAYTGGCGATGATATCCCATAATTTCTGATATATTTTATATATACTTGGAATGAGTCAAAATGATCATAATTTATGCATATTGTTGTATTCACTTTGATAAACTCTAATTACAAATTAGTTCTTTCAGTTTAACAGTCCAAGAGTGTTAATCAAACAGAGATCGTACTTAGTTTCTCAACTTATGTACTTCGAGACAAAAATCCAGAGATTAAAATAGATATTAGAGTGAAAATGTTTGGATTCGATTGGCATAAAACCAACAAAATCCACTTTGGAATATATACAATCGTACTTCTTGCTTCACTATTCTTCGTTATTATTCCATTGTCTATACATAACTTTTTTTCAACTTCATGGTTTTATAGTGTTTTCACGCAGTTGTTTTGACCTGCCATCAATTAATACAACATGACGCCATGGTCTGTGGGTGCTGGTTCCTTGGTCTGGTGTGATGTTTTGAAGTAATGAGTCAAGTGAACTTTACTGAGAAGAAATAATAACGGACTAAGCAGAACAACCCCAGCTGAACCAAGAAGCATCCAAAATGAGTAGTCGAGACGTGCGCGACCAGTGGATTCAAAACCAACTTTTTTGTCTTCTGGTCGAAGTACGTTCTTCTTAAGTTGGATCTCAAAGAGACTAGCGTATAGGCAAACAGCAACAAGGAGCATAATGACTGAAATTACAATCAAGATAGAATGTGAGGAGATTTTCATAGAATTTGATTGCTCTTTAGCAGAAACATATAAGGGACTTRAAGTCCTTTATAAGTTTCTGTCTTTAGTTATCATCATCATTATCATCATCATCATCATCACATCTTACGAGATACCGTTATCCCTTTCTTCCTCGTCGAGAAATAAAGAGATTTTCATCACTGTGGCCATTGAAGAGAGGAATTCCTCTGCTTTTAAAAGTGCTAATAATTCTTTAATTAGAAAACAATTTCCTTTTACAGAGGAGAATCGCCATGGCGTTCCCAAAAGTGTCCGTTACAATGAGTTGACTGTTTTATTGTTTCAAAAAATCCTGATCACATTTGATCATTGTCATCACGATCATCATTATATACCTTAACAGCAATAATCATGGCCTCAGCAGCGAAGATTTTCATTAATATATTCTTATTCTAGTTTGTGCTTCATAAGATTATTTTCATCGCCATCATCATCATTATATAACAGCAATAATCATGGCCTCAGCAGCGAAGATTTTCATTAATATATTCTTATTCTAGTTTGTGCTTCATACGAACATGGCAACAGTCGAAGAAATCAATTAAAACTTGATATATACTTACAAGCCAGTCCGTGAACGATGCATATCCCAATCGACCCAAACAAGACAAGGTTGGGCTTTGAGAATTCATTGTAGCACGACATTACAATGCCAATCAAGATGAACGGAAAACTGAGCACGCAGAACCCAACTGTGGCCCACACAACCTTATCATTGGCGACGTTTTCAAACTCGTCAATCACTAAAAATACAAGTTAAAAAAATGAAAGTATATCGTTAATTGGTTGATTTTATTTATAGATTATATAGCAGAATCTACTATTGTTCGTCTAGTGTTTACTACAAACAGTCTCTTTGTAAGATTAATGAGTCTATGCAAATATGGCGGACTTCTTTTTTGAATTATAAACAACTTTTCGGTTAAAACTGTACGGAACTTTTCATCGAAACTATTCACTTTTTCATTTGTTGATGGGTCCATAGAATATATAAACCCTTTTTCATTTCAAAATCAAATATTTGATGTAAATTACAGCCTAGTCGTATAACTGGTAGAAACTAGAAGGTATCGATAGAGACCTTTATACATAATTAATGACCGAAACAGCCATCATACACAAAAATAGCTCGCTAATACAGCAATGTGTTCACTTTAGAAGACGCTGTATTTCAAAGAAACAGATCGATCAAAGTTTATAGTCAAGAATGTGTCGCAGAAGTAAGTTAGGGCGATGGCTTCAGTGAGTTTTAGTGTATTACTAATGATAACGCTAACCGCAGCCACAACATTGAATGAGATTTTAGACTACAATTGAAATATATGAAAACACCGATTTCGAACAYTTCATCGTRGATCAGTTTTCGAATATCGAATATAATTAAATGTTCTGCCTGATTAAACGTTCTTTGGTTAAATTCTAAGGCTGTGGTTTCCTGAAATCACATAACAAACTAACAAATACTTGATATTTACCTTTGAAGTCTCTTTCACGGGATCCAAGGCCAAGATTCTGCGCTGTTGATCCAGAGAACAGACCGAAGTGYTTCGTACCTCCGTCTTGTTCTTTCGTCGAAGTTCGATTGTTTTCCGTAACTTGGACTTCATACCTAAGATCGGCATTAACCCAATATTCTGTAATAAGCGCTGCAGCTATCATTACAAGTCCACAGAACGCAACAATCGCTGATAAAATGCCCAGTCCTTTACGTTTAAAAACGCTCGCCATTTTGTAATAAAGCACAAGTTTTGAAAGTTGTACTGATAATGACCGGTTAGTCTGCCATGGCGTTCGATTTCTTTTCACCGTCTATATAACATTTCCATCGACTTGGAACTATTGGAGAATTTGATTAAATTAACGTGGCGGRCAGCCAATCAGAATACAAATTACAAAAAAAAGTTATATACACTTGGTTTTGTCACGCAAACTTAGAAAAATGGAGTCACGATAAATATACATGCACAACGGTGCACCTTCGTGTAAAATAATAACACCCCAGTTTCAATATCACAAATACAGAACATGAAGTTTTCACATAAACGATGCAATTTAGCGCTTCAGAAAAAATATATGGTCACAGTTTTCCGTAGTTGAATCTGAGTACGTGAGTTCGCCTCGTTTCGAAACTATCCTACAATACTTTGACACTTTTTAAAATGGAGCTACCCAAGTTCGCAATACAAAAACTCAATATTTCAATGMGCTGAAAAATGAAAATAAGAAAATAGGAACAAACTAATTAAACATTTTACTTATCTTTAATGGCAACAATACTTTGTACAAAATACATTGGAATATTATAWCTTCCTTATCCACTTCCCAAAAGGAACCTAAAAAATATAAACCTAATCTGAGCTCTTTTTTTGTCATATAAATAACTACAAGTAAATCCAATTTAGAGTTAAAAGCAAAACAAAATTCCTAATGTCCAATRGGCATTGTGCATGAGTATCATATCAAAAGCTTCCTTTAGGTTTTAAATAACAATATTGCAATGTTTAGGTATTAAGGAAATTAAACAATATTGAATTTTTTAATTTGTAATATATATTTCATTGCCACAAGCGGTGATAGAAGCTTTTTTACATCAATGACAATTAAGAAAAATAGGCAAACATACTCATGTTTAGATTTTTCATTGTCATATTCATAAATATTATGAGTAAAACATATCAATATATAACTTTATTACAAAATATTTGAAACTTAAGTTAAGTTTTAGGTTTTAAGTTTTTCTTCCTTGGAGAACCATAGTTTTAACCATGAAAATTATGAGTGCAAAATAAATAAACAACGTTATTACAAAAAGTATTTCAAACTTGAGTAAAGTTTTAGGCTTTTCTTCCCTAAAAAACACAGACCTGGGGATTTTCAGGGTGGTGGACTTGCACAACTTGAAATCTCTGCTTATATTTATGTCACAGCCACAACTCAAAGGTCCCTGGGTTTACAGGGAAGCAAAATGACTAGCTTACTAAGAATCTTGAAATGAAGTTTGCAAGTTTGTATTGACACGTTTGCTAAATCTAAAGACTGCAACTCACCATTCATTGCGGCATGTTACAGCTGCAGTTCTGACAAGTCTCTTTCTGTCATCAAGCGATGGCGCAAGGCTCTTGATTACTTTGGTCTTATAAACATACACCTAAGAGATTGTAAAAAAAACCACCAGTACAAATATTACACACAGAAAAAAATACATGGTTTTGAAAAGATGAATTTGTACATATTTTTTACATATGGAGAAACATGTCTTTGTCCTTAAAGCCATATTAAACTTTGCTATAAAAGTATGTATGCACTGTACTTACAACATGGTGGGGTAATGTTGTCAAAGCTCCAAGACACTTCAATGCCTCTATACGTACAGTCTGAAGCAAAAAGAAACACCTCTAGAACACAGACACTAAACTAAACTATTAACTATTTCATCTTGTAATTCATATGATCAATGTAACATGTCATATTGTAAAATACATCTCTATGGAGTTAGCATTGGAAATGTTAAAATTCAGTTGAAAAAGAAACTCAAGACATACCATTGAACCTTCAAACTTCACAAGTCGCAGCAAGTTTGGTACAATTGATGTGATTTGTCTAGTGACGGCTTCCGGTGCATCAAAGACCAGTGAGTACAAGGTTTGCAATGAAGACAGCAATAAACTGGCTTGATCATGAGACAAGGACTGGATCAAAAGTGGCATTAACTGGTATCGAAAAGAAAAAAAAACTATTATTTTATGTCCTCATTCTGTTGAGAGTAATACAAGGCGCTTTGTTTGAAAAATTTAGGATGTAAAAGTTATCCAGCAATGTGAACTTACATTTGGAATTTCAGACATTAATACTTGTTTTGGAATCCAGCGAAGTAAATGTGACAAAGCTGTCAAGTAATTATGTTTATGAACTGAAAAAGACAAAAGTAAAAACTATGACAACGATACCAAAGATAAGAGGATGACAGTGATGACACCGTTAAGGAATCTCTTTTTGTGACCTGTGCCAGTAAGCTGATTCCCTTTATTGCTTTGAAAGCTTTTCTCCGTGTCTGACGGACAACGGCAGCATGATAACAACAATTGCTTTAATGACGATACAAACCTGTTGGTGCAGACTGAAAACCAGCAAGAAGTAGCGGTAGGGTTTCCATAAAGAAACGCTGCCTGTACATTATCTATAACAAAACATCCATTACATGTATCTATTAACTAATATTTATATCATTTATATCTTAGAGCAGAGTCACATGAACCATGAAATAAGAACTAAAAAGTACTAACTAATAGGCACTATTAGTTCCTAATAGTCGTTAGCACTGAACCAGAACAGTTTATTTGATCCAATAAGCAATACCCAAGAGAACACTWTAACAATCAAAGTAATCTCTTTGTACTGTTCTGGTTCAGTGATAGTGTCTAAATAGTGSCTATTAGTAACTAAGTATTTAGTTTCTATTTCATGGTTCAAGTGACTCTGCTCTATATTACTAAATTAATCCTTCATAGCAGTGTGTATAGTTAGTAAACAAAACATACTCTAATATTAGCATGCATAGCTGCCGTCATGATGTCATTGCTGTCCATTATTAGAATGTAAAATCCATCAGATGCAACTTTGCCAAGGTCTTCTTTGTCAAACATGCTCATTATCTAAATAATAATCAAATATTTTGAGTTTTGTTTACATAATAACTATCCACCAAGTATATTTCCATAGAAAGTACCTTCTTAATGAAATCTATTGACGCTGGATGAGAACGGATTATGAGAGACCTTGTTATCTGGTAAACAAAAGATATGGTTACAATACACACGTCTTCCTACAATAACTAATGATAAAATGATAAAGGAGTTGATGGCAATCACACAAAGAATGCATGACAATGCCTGGTAGCTGATAAGTTGTCTCTTACGAGAAGCAGAGCTACATAATTAAATCTATTTTCATTATTATTGTGTTGAAGCTATGGCATAGTTACCCAAAGCCATGTAATAAGAAGACTCCAGTGATGGTCTTTGTACGTCATGTCAGTAACACAAGGCCATATAGTATCTTTTAGATGWAGGAGTAGGTTGTCCAGGTCTTGACCTGTCATGTGTGTGTACATGTATATCATAAAAATGCCCACCCAACAAGTCTAGCAACCAACTAACATAGCAACCAACCAACATAACAACCAACTAATCTAGAAACCAAGGCAACTAGCCTGACAACCAACCACCCTAGCAACCAGCTTCAATAGCAACCAATTACCCTAGCAACCAACTACCATAGCAACCAATCAACATAGCAACTTAMTGACCAAATACCAATCAATARTATGACACTTGACAAAGTAKAAACAYTAATTATACCATGATCCATCTTGTTGATAAGACCAGCCAGACACTTTGCTGCCGCAATATTTGTTCTTTTATGGGTAGACTGACAGGCCAGACATTCTAACTTTGACACCAGAACCTGGTACTTTGGAATGGACACCTACAGAATATAATGCATTTTATTTTAGCAAGAACATCAAATAAACAAAAATTAGTAGTAGAATGAAACTTACCTCCTTCTTTACAGAACAGATAACAGCCATTAACAGGACAACAAGCTGTGTTTGTTGCCATGGTGAAGTTAGCTATTCAATAATTCAAAATAACAACAAATTACTACATGTGATTAAAGTTTATTTTTCATTTCTGATTCCTAGTGCCTACCTCTAATGGCCTAAACACCGTATCTTTATATTTGTCAAGTGATTTTGGTAAAATACCCTCTACAAAGAGAGCTATGATAGACTGTAATGTCTCTTCTACAGATCTAAAGAAATACAAATAACTTAATGTTTCATTCCACAGAAAACAGAAAACTCACAAAACAATTTTTTTACTAACTCTGTCTGCTGTTGACTTATAATCCCTCGTAGAACAGAGCTGACTGTCTCCACAATGTCTGCCTCAACCATGAGGTTTGTTTGAGCATCTAAATATGAGAATTTGGATTGTAAAGCCTGAGTTTTTTCTGAGTCAAGACAGTGTTATCAATCTCGAAGAAGTTGCYGAGTCAAAAGAATTAGATTAGTGGATTATGAACTTTACCTTGCAGGACAGGTTCTARAATTATTGATAAAACTTCTGGTATTARGTTATTTGAGTAAAATTCTGGTGTGATAAGATTGCGTTTCAAAGTTCCTGTAAGAAATAATRTTTATTAACCATTAATAATGTATTAATAACAATACTTTAGGGACTTAAAGTGTACTAACCTTCTACAACAGACAGAAGACTAGTGAATGTTTTCTTTCCCTTGATCTTGATATCATYAGTTACCTCATTGACTGTCAACATAAGGTCATCAATGAGTAAATTCAATGAAAAATGAATGAGTTTGCTTATCAATCACACTGCTAACATCCTTGCTAGCAATCAATCTACAAATCCACTAGTCAATCAAACAACCCAACCAGCCTTTGAGRTCTTGTTTTAGTGCTTCATCCCAATTCCCTGGTCGGTGACTGTGACATATTGCACCATTTTTGAAAGTCATGAATTACATTCATTCAACGATTTATAGAGCAGATTTTGTATGACTGTGCAACGGAATGAATCACAGCACGGACCCGGCACAGCACGGTCACAGAACCTCGCCTTCTAGGATTCCAAATAAAAATTAAGATTTAACAATACATCACCGCTACTGCACGGTACGGTCACAAAGCGAAAGTACTGTGGTTTTTTGCACAGTCATACAAAATCCGCTCTAATATACATGTATTATACTTGTAGTGTTCACCATACCATTGGATAAATTCTTGCTGTGTGTTAGCATTATTGCAATAACATCTCGTACAAGGGATTCCTCTGTACAAACTACACATAAAGTATCTACTGCRTATCCATGATTGGTAGTCTCAGTGGTTGCCATGGAGCTGTCACAAACCATAGAAACACTCTCTTCTAAATAGATACAAAGAGATGAAGAAAGAAAGAGTGCAGTTAGCCCTCATCCTGAAAATACTGATAAAAACAAAATCCWCAATGAATGAAACCAGCTTCCATATCATGAAGACACCAAATTACGGCTCTGAAYAAGATGGAYCTGATTAAGAARTGTACAAACCTGATGAAAGATGGCTGCGAACAACWGGAAGGACTTCTGTTTTTATTAAYGATGGAAAATTGGAAGACAGGTAAGCCAGTGCCATTGTACTTTCTTGCCTGTAGAAAAGTTAAARAACAGAATTAGTTCATAAAACAGTAATACAATGAAGAGCAATAACTCATAAATTATGTCTACTTGACCTCACTGTTGCATCAGAAGTATCAAGAGCATGTTTTGTTAAATGTTGCATGAATAACTTGACCTGAAATTGAAAGAATATGGTCAAAATGATTCTAGTCAACAACTTCATTGCTTTCTTGTGTTACCTCATCATCTGAACAAASATCACTCAAGGACACGATTGCCACTAAACCTGTTATACCAGCACAGTTTATGGAAGGGCTTTCGGATGMCAGGGCTTCAAACATGATAGCTTGGATAGCCTCTTTATTCACTACAACAGGGTCATCTAATAATTTTTATAAAAAGTGAATCTGTCAGTGTAGAATCAACAATGAAATTTCAGGAGATTYAAACTGTTCATTGTACCTTTTACTGTGGAATGGAAGTCTTTGGAAACCTTTAACAGCTCTAGCATCACRTCTAGAGTAATTTTTCTAGCAATTCCCTAAACAAACAGCAAGCAAAAGGGTATTGAAAAAGTCACCCTTAGTAATGATTGCTAGTTTTTTGTATATTTGAGATGTAATACCTGTGGTTGASCATTGTATTTGTTAAGAAGCAAAGGAATTGTGGAAATCATYACTTGCTGATAAGCCAATTCTAAATATAGATCCAAAGAATAAATGAGTGATTGCCAGAACATGATAAAGTTAACTTTAAGTCAGCAGTACCTGCTGCAGATGCCACTGCTTGTAGTATCCTGCCATTTGGCTTCATCATCCTTAAATCCTCAGATCTGAGATGTTGTTCACACTCTAACAAATCATATCAATCCAAATATAACAAAGATGCAACATGAGAAATGTGTTGGATATATTAATAAATCATAATAATTTAATATTATATTTACCTTTAATTATTACAGATAAGAAATTGTCTCTTGGTTCAATGTCTTGTTTCTTAAAAGATTGAAATTATAAAACAATTATCATGAAATTCATTACTTGTCATAATTCATAAGGTAAACATAACGGAAAATCATTGTCTTGTCCTCATCTTTATATGAGCAAAAAATTTGTCTTGATTTGCATACAACCTTAACTTTGATTTTTGTAAAATATGCTTTAGCTTATATTGGAATTTGATACGCAATATGAAATATTCACGTCCAGCCTTTATGGGCTCTAAAACTGCTTGCTTGCAGCTCCTATTTTTATATGCCCATAAAGGTTTGCCATTAATATTTTATATATTACATAACATAAGTAACTAGCTATCTGCTAATGGGCATTAACATTCCTAAATGACAATATAGATAGGTGGGGTCCTTACTTGTGAACATAGATTTCTAACGATGCTTGTTAGCGACAGTAAAGCTGCATCCTGGCAAAAAAAGCAAAGTACAGATTATTGAATAATTCTAAACMATCATCATGAAATGTAATTAGTTGTACCTCTAGTTCTGAGCTAATAGTCTGATAAACCTCTCTTTGTATTGATTTCCAAAAAGGATCCAAATATTCTTTAATGCTTTGTGTTGTGTACACTGTCATGCAAGACGCCTACAAAAGAAGATAATTATATTCAAAATGGTACCAGTAAACACACAATCAAAAATCCAAGATTATAATAAACTTTTTTAATTTTTATCTCAATTATCAATATTGAAATTATAATAAATTGAAAGTGTTAGATGTTAATAGATGATAGAACTTACCAATGTAAGCAATGAGTCRATTTTTGCACTTATAACATCAGAGGTCAACTTCTCAAGTAACAAAGGCAGACAAAACTGAAGAAAGGTATAACATTATTTAAGTACAAAACATAACTTGATTGCTACTAATGCATGACTTACTGAAGCAAATAAATTAGTGCTTGACAAACATTTCCGTAATCCCAACACAAGATCATCTTTTGTTATTCCTGAAGGATCTTCWGATGACTRTAAAATGAATACAGTTTCAAACATGACAACAAACAAACAAACAAACAAAAATCCATTCTACTTACTGGACTAAAATCTATAGGAAAATAACAAGATGTAACTTCGAACAAGTCTTCTGCAAACAAACCTAAAGGAAAAAGTTATACACAACTGTGATTTAAACACACACAAAAATACAAGTAAAACTTATAGTGATACCTATTGGAAAATGTTTCACAAGCAATGCTACAAGCTGGAATGCTAAAACTAAATTCCTTGGGTCCTAGATGGAAAATGATAAACAACATCACAATGATTTCAAAGTATAATTTATTCAATTTAATGTTATGTGATTATTAATAGTCTCTTTTACATTCTACATACCTTTTCACCGTCCATAGTTTGAATAACACCAAAAACAAAATCAGAGCCAATGGTTTGAAGATCTAAATTTGAGAACATATTATTTAGCACAGCACAGCACAGCACAGCACAGCACAGCACAGCACAGCACAGCACAGCACAGCACAGCACAGCACAGCACAGCACAGCACAGTATGAATTTTTCTAG